AAGAGATCAAAGATCCCAAAGCTCTGCATGCACTGCATCTTACTCATTTAGGAATGTCATGTTTAAAGATTTCATCCAATCTTAGCATATCAAAATTATTTCAAATCATTTCAGTTGTTTCTTTAAATTTTAAACTACTGAGAACAGAATATAGGACCCTTGTCTTTCCAATTGGAAGACTTTCAATGATAATCAACTTCATAATCAGCATTACCATACTGATTTTGACTTACATTCCTTAACGGACCACTATAGTGCCAGGAAAACAAACTGGTTTTCCTGGCACTAAAGGGTCTTTAGGTCCCCCCCACCCTCACGGCCTCCCTCCCGCTGGGCTGAAGAGGGCTGAAGGGGATAAACTCTTACCTTTCACCAGCGCCGGGCTCTCTCGGCACTGGGAAAGTCTCCTCCTGACGACAGCGCTGAATGCGCATGCGCGGCAAGAGCCCCGCGCGCATTCAGACAGTCCATAGGAAAGCATTACTCAATGCTTTCCTATGGACGTCAGCGTCTTCTCACTGTGAAAATCAGTGAGACAGCCACTAAAGGCTGGATTAACCCTAATGTAAACAAAGCAGTTTATCTCAAACTGCTATGGTTACAGCTGCAGGCAGGGCCGGTGCAAGGATTTTTGCCGCCCTAGGCAAAAAAAAATTTGCCGCCCCCCCATATGTCCTGCCCACCATGTGACATCACAATGCCCCGCCCATATGCTCTGCCATATGGGACAACACCAGTCTGCACAAAGTGTCTTTTATCTGTGTGTTTACATTAAAAAGCCTAAGAAGCACAGGCTATAGACACCAGAACCACTACATTAAGCTGTAATGCTTCTGGTGACTAGAGTATCCATTTAATGTGAGAGAGATTAGTGCCACTAATAATATATTTGTTTGCCTACTTACCACCATATGAGGACAAGAGGCTGATGATGGGCTCAGTCTGGCTCCACAGGTCTGGTGTAGAAGAGGCTCTCTGGAGACTGTTTGTAACAGTGCTCACAACAATTAACGACCAGGAAGCAGCTCAATTTTTTGGGGCCCCTTACACAGCCAGAGCTTAACCGTGAGTATGCCTACAATGCCCACCCATAAATCCACCTACATGGCCCACCAATGAGTTCTCTCACAGGGAGTGGAGTGTATGTGTGTAGGGGATGTGTTATTGTAGAGGATGTAATGTGTGTGTGTTCTTATAGAATGTAGTGTATAGGGATACCAATTTGTGTAAGGGATGACGTGTGTGTATAGTGGATGCATTGTATGTTTCTGGGTGTGTGTGTGTGTGTGTAAGGGATGCAAGGTGTGTTTCTGTGTATGTAATTGAATGCAGTGTGTGTCTGTAAGGGGTGCATTGAGTGTGTAAGAGATGCATTTTGTTTCTGTGTGTAAGAGAATGAGTGTTTGTGTGAGCATAAGGAATGCATTGTGTGTTTCGGGTGTGTGTGTGTGAGTATGCATTGTATGTTTCTGTGTGTGTGTGGGGGGGGGATGCATTGTGTATGTGTGTAGTGTATAAGAGAGGGTTTGTGGGGTAGGATAGGGACTGAGAAGGGAGCAGCCCTTTATTTTTTTATTGTTTTTTAAATCATAGTGCTCCTCCCTCCTTAGTGGTCCTTCCTCTCTTCCCCTCCCCCCCTTAGTGGCCCTTAGCCTCTTCCCCCCCCTCAGTGGTCCTTACCCTCTTAGTGGTCCTTACCCTTCTCCCTTCTCCCTTCTCCTTAGTGGTCCTTCCCCTCCTTTGGTGGTCCTTCCCCTCTTCCCCCCTTAGTGGTTCTCCCTCTCCCAAACCCCTTAGTAGACCTCCCCCCCTCCTCCCTCATTGGTGCTCCCTCCCTTACCCCCGATTGGTGGCCCTCCCTCTTCCCCCTTAGTGGTCCTCCTCTCTGCCAAACCCCCCTCCCCCAGTGGTCCTTACTCCTCCCTCTGTGGTCCTTACTCCCCCCTCTCCCACAGTGATCCTTATCCCCACCCAGTGATCCTTATCCTCCCTCCCCCAGTGGTCCTTATCTCCCCCACCTTCCCCAGTGGTCCTTATTCCACCCCCGCATCTCCCCCAGTGGTCCTTACCCTCCTCTTTTGTTCCTCCTGCCAATGTATCGTGGCTGGGCGGCGCGGAACACGGGACAGGGACCTCTGTTTCATGTACTGAGTGAGCACTTACCTTCAGTCCGCCGGCGGCCGGGTACAAGAAACAGAAGTTCCTGTCCCACGTTCCGAGCCGCCCGGCCACGCTACATTGAGAGACCGGCAGGAGGGGAACGCTCTGCGCTTCCCTCCTGCCGGTCACTCAAATCCTACCGCCCTACATACAGCAGTGCTGCACTGCCTGAGGCTCGTTAAAGCTCTCAGGTGGCGCAGCATGAGGAGCAGCACCGGTGACTCCAGGCACAGGGATTTGGCGCCCCCTGCTAAGGTGCGCCCTAGGCGGCTGCCTAGGTTGCCTTACAGGTAGCGCCGGCCCTGGCTGCAGGGTTAACCCTAGATGGACCTGGCACCAGACCACTTCATGCCGAACTTACCTTTCTTTAATCGATTCCTCTTCTCTCCCTCTCTCAGGATCTGTTCTTCATTTCTTCCTGTCTGCTCTAGTTTTCTTTAAAACATAAGACAAAGTAGGGACTATTTGTCTTATGGATGCTTACTATGCCTGACCATCTCTGACCAGCGGAGGAGCAAAGTGTGCTTCATTTCCGGTGGTCAGAAAAATGTTCCCACAATTCTAAGCTTCCCTCCCTGTTCCCATGATGCTTCCTGTCAGTATTCCCAAACCAGGACGCCGGCGAAACTGCCGAATTGCGTCCTAACAGAATGAGAACAATTTGGCACTTTGTTCGTATCGGAATTTCATTCGAATGAATGAAACTCGATTCAGTTCGTGCTGTGGCTGCATCTTGCAGCCGCTTAGTAAATAACTCCCTAATTCCCACGGTATTAGGGAGTTATCTACCAAAATGCTGAAATACCTAAATTGGTCTTTCGGCCACATTTTAGTAAATGCTGCCCCCTACTTTACTTTACTCACTGTTAAAAAACAAAAAAACCCTAGTATAACAATAGCCAGGGGTACCTATTGTCCTCCCCCTGGCCCCCACCCCTGATTCAGAGTGTTCTGAGCCTAATTGCAGGGCGAGGCAAGGCTTTATAAGCCTTTCCCTGCCCTGCGGAGCTCAGTCTGCACCGTGCCCTCGCTGGGTGAAGATGGATTAATTTTTAGCGTCAGGTTTTTTCTTTTTCGTCAGATTTTTTTTTGCGCTCTGGTTTTTTATTTTATTTTTTACAAGTTCAACGGCTAGTATGGTTTTTATTTGGCCTTTTTTTGTGGCTGAAAAATGAAGATTTTAGAAAAAAGAAGACATCAAATGGTAAGTTTTATTTTTTTTACAGGTAGTTAGTTATTTTATTCCCCCCTCACTATTTTTAGGGTGAGGGGGGTAGGTAGGGAATTATTTTTTATTTGGGTTGGGGGGGTGACTAGGGGCTTGGGGACCCCTAGTCACCTTGGAAGGAAGGGGGGGATTTTCATTTAGGGCCCCCATCCCCACCGCTCAGGGGTGGGGACCGAGGGGAGGACCATAGGTGCCCCCCTATTGTTATTTATGGCCCCTACCCACCACTCAGGGGTGGGGGACAATAGACCCCCATTGTTATTTATGGCCCCCACCTGCGCTTCTCAGTCGCTCTTACCTCATAAGGTAAGAAGGGAGGGGGAATATTAACTAAACAGCCCCCACACATTACACACAAACATACAACACACACACATACATCACCCACACACTAACAACACCCTTAAACACACAGCACACACTAACAACACCCTTACACACACAGCACTCTCACACACACACACACATACACACACTAACAGCACCCTTACACACACAAAGCACACATTAACAGCACCCTTACACACACAGCACCTTCACACACACACAGCGCCTTCACACACACAGCACGCCCACACACAGCAGTGTGTGTGTGTGTGTGTGTGTGTAAATATATATATATATATATATATATATATACGTGGCGTGTGTGTTTCTGCTTTAGGGTGCACACCCTTAAACAATATTACCTTGATTACTAACATAATACATTTGGTGACAAGTGCATAGGTCAATGGACAGAAAAGTAATATGTTTGAGGCAGTGATGGAACTAATGTAGAGAGGTCCCTGGTGAAAGAAACATTTTTGGGCCCCCTCTAGCACCAAACGGTAGATACTTTTATAGTGTAACTCCTACAATGCTTTGTCAGCTCAAGATCTACCATTTTCCCATCCTTGCAGGACTGTATTTGTGAGCACTATATGTGTGTTTGAATATAAGCATGCTTCTGCATGGAATATGTGTGTTCTTAAATGTAGTAGTGTATTTGTACATTCTGTTGCCATTTGAATGTAGTAGTGTATTTGTATGTAGTATTGGCATTTGCATGCAGTTCTGCATTTATGTGTAATGTTGGTGTTTTAATATAGGCACTGGCGTACACACCCTAGTCGCAGGGGTCACAGCTGCGACAGGGCCCGTCACTCTAGGGGGCTCAGCCGCCCTGCGGACCCCTGCGACCGGGTACCCGCCACCATCTTTTGCGGTTTGCCGCCGGGGCCGCCCTCCAAGGGGTCCATCGGGTGGCCCATGCTGTTAGGGCCACCCGATGGAGATGGATTGTCAGGGGACCCGGCCAGTGCTGGGCGCTTTAACAGTGCAACCGGGCCCCTTGTGATGATATCAGACATAGCTGGGAGGAAGTGACTGCACGTCACTCCTCCCAGTTATCAGAGAGCTGCGCAGGAGGAAGGAGGAGGGAGTCAGAGTGGGAACTCTGACTTCCATCAGGCTGAGCCCACACTGTACCCCAGGGAAGTCACCCTCCTGCAAAAGGTAGGAAACAGGGGGGTGACTTAAACATTTTGCATGTGTCTATGTGTCTGTCTGTGTGTATGTCTGTGTCTGTGTGTCTGTCTGTATGTGTGTGTCTGTATGTGTGTCTGTGTGTGTCTCTGTATGTATGTGTCGGTGTGTGTGTCTCTGTATGTATGTGTCTGTACCATACAGACACATACATACAGAGACACACATACATACTGTAACAAACCACCTCTTTTATAGGTAGGATTGTCACAGATCTTGCAGTAACCACAACCTTCTAGGGTATACAAAGTCCAGGACATATTCAGCTCGGTTTTCCTTTTTATTCAATAAGAAAACAGGTGCTTTAAATAATAACAAAACAAACAAAATCCCTTGCTCTTACTTGAGCTCTTACTAGACAGGAATTGCTATCTGCAATTGGGTGGCTTTCCCACTTACCAATTTTCCAAACAAAAGAAATGTCTTTGCAATAAACACAATTGTCATTCACTCTCCTAGCTGACTTTTTCTCCCTCACTCTGCAGCAGGCTGCCCTCTTCTTTTAAAGGCCTGTCTACTAATTGACTAGCTACAGGTGAGTGCCAATTAACTAACTCCAAATAGTGGTCTGTTACACAGCAACTAATGCTGTTGGAGCATTGGCCCACCCTGCTCTCCAAATACTCCGCCCCAGGGACCCATACCATGTTTTGCAGAACCTCAGCAATGTAGATTGCAAACTCTAACATCTCTCCCTGGGGCATTTAACTGAAAATTCTCAGGTTGCTGTTTAACAAATCAGGCCTGATGTATCGTCCATCAATCACAATTCCACTTTTACGCTCACATATCCTCCCCCCCAGCTCATACCCATGGGTTTGAGCGACCATGGAAATCAGAGAGTGTACCCTCGAAAGCCCATCAGCATTACCTTGTTGCAGACCAGCCCTGTGTTCCACAGTAAAATTAAAAGATTGTAAACTCAAAAACCATCTGGTTACTCTGGAGTTATTTTCCTTGTTCTGATACATCCATGTCAGAGGTGCATGGTCCGTTATCAATCGGAACTTTCTGCCTAGCAGGTAGTATTTAAGAGAGTCTAATGCCCACTTAATAGCAAGACACTCTTTTTCAACAATAGAGTAGTTCTTCTCATGTGGGTTTAACTTCCTGCTCAAAAAGAAAACAGGGTGTTCTTCACCCTGGCATTCCTGTGAAAGAACAGCCCCCAAGCCAACATCAGAAGCATCTGTCTGAACTATAAAGTCCCTGGAAAAATCTGGGGTCACCAAGACAGGATGGCTACAGTTCCTTCAGACTCTTAAAAGCCTTTTCTGCCTCAGGGCACCATTTAACTATGACTGGGGATTTTGCTTTAATAAGGTCTGTTAGAGGTGCAGCAATGGTAGCAAAATCTGGGATGAACCGCCTATAATATCCAATTAAACCCAAAAATGCCTTTACTTGTTTCTTTGTAAGGGGCTGTGGCCATTTTTGTATGGCTTCCACTTTGGCTTCCTGTGGTTTAACCAAACCCCTCCCAATAGAATAACCCAAGTACTTTGCTTCCTCTAAACCAATCGTACACTTGGAAGGATTGGCAGTTAAGCCCGCTGAGCGGATAGCATGAAGCACCACTTGAACTTTGGGGAGGTGGGATTCCCAGTCTGCACTGTGGATGACGACATCATCCAAGTATGCTGCAGCATAACGAACATGGGATTTAAGAATTCTGTCCATCATTCGTTGGAATGTGGCAGGTGCCCCATGTAACCCAAATGGCAACACAGTGTACTGAAACAGGCCACTGGGTGTTGAAAAGGCTGTCTTTTCTTTGGCTCTTTCAGTGAGAGGGACCTGCCAGTAACCCTTTGTTAAATCCAAGGTTGTTAGATAACGAGCTTTACCCAGTCTTTCTATTAACTCATCAACTCTGGGCATTGGGTAAGCATCAAATTTTGAGATGGCGTTTAACTTGCGGTAGTCATTACAGAACCTCCATGTGCCATCAGGTTTTGGCACCAATACAATAGGACTACTCCAGTTACTCTGGGATTCTTCAATGACTCCAAGTTTTAACATGCTCTCAACCTCTAAGTTTATAACCTCCCTCTGGGCCTCAGGAATTCTATAGGGTTTGAGGTTAACTCTTTTCCCTGGTTCGGTTATTATGTCATGTTTAATCACCTTAGTCTTTCCTGGAACTACAGAGAAAACATCTCTATTTCTTCTGATGAAATCTCTGACCTCTTGCTTTTTATGTACAGACAGAGTTTCAGATACGTTCACCTCTGGCTCTACTATAGGAGGTTCTGAAGGTTTTAAAGCAACCAGGACCTCCCTGTCCTTCCATGGCTTTAACAGATTTATATGATACAACTGTTCAGGCTTTCTTCTTCCTGGTTGTCTGACTTTATAATTGACATCACTCACTTTCTCTATTATTTCATAGGGTCCATGCCAAGTCGCAAGGAACTTGTTCTTCACAGTAGGGACCAGAACCAATACCCTGTCTCCAGGTTGGAACACTCTGACTCTAGCATTACGGTTATAGCTGTTTTTCTGAGCCTGCTGGGCTTCCAGCATGTGTTCCCTGATAATAGGCATGATGGTGGCCATTCTATCCTGCATTTGAGCTATATGCTCAATTACACTCCTGTGAGGAGTAGTCTCCTGTTCCAAGGTCTCCTTAGCAATATCCAATATTCCCCTGGGATGTCTCCCATATAACAATTCAAAAGGAGAGAAGCCCGTGGAGGCCTGTGGAACTTCCCTAATGGAAAACAGTAGATATGGCAATAAAAAATCCCAATTTCTTCCATCTGCATCAATTACCTTACGTAGCATACTCTTAAGGGTTTTGTTGAACCTCTCTACTAAACCATCAGTCTGTGGGTGATATACTGAGGTCTTAAGATGTTTAACCTGCAAGAGCCTGCACAACTCTTTTGTGACTCTGGACATGAACGGGGTTCCCTGGTCCGTCAGGATTTCTTTAGGGATACCCACCCTACTGAACATAAACATAAGTTCCTTAGCTATTAACTTTGCAGAGGTATTACGCAAGGGAATGGCCTCTGGGTAGCGAGTTGCATAGTCCAAGATGACTAATATATATTGGTGTCCCCTAGCAGACTTTACCAGTGGCCCCACTAAGTCCATAGCGATCCTTTCAAAAGGCACATCAATTATGGGTAAGGGTACAAGTGGACTACGAAAAGTCTTGAAAGGAGCCCTGTACTGGCACTCAGGACATGAGGAGCAATAGTTTGTAATAGCAGCAAACACTCCAGGCCAGTAAAACCTTCTAAGGACTCTCTCTCTAGTTTTTTCGACTCCCAAGTGTCCCCCTAATATGTGGCTGTGAGCCAACTTTAGTACTATATTTTGGTAAGTCTGAGGAACCAACAGCTGCTTAATGATATCTGAATCCCTTTTTTCTACACGGTAAATTAGGTAATTTTGTACTTCAAAATAGGGTAACGGTAGGGCTTCTCCTGGTTGATTAGCAACCCCATTTACAACTTTAATATCATTTCTAGCTGTCACTAAAGTGGGATCTTCCCACTGAGCACTTTTAAAATTACCTGGACTGATTCCAATATCAATTAAGTCCTTATCCTTGTCTGCAGTATTAGTAGGCTCCTCACTAGTTTGAGCTGGGTTATCTCCTATTAATACTGGTTTAGCGCAGTATTTTCTCCTTTTTCTTATTTTTCCGTCACAGTGGTCAAAACCCAAGTCAATATCGGAAAAAGGGAACACATTATCCTCGGCCGATTGACTAATTTCTGATAAATTTTGGTCCCTTTTTTGTACAGCTGCCCATAATTCTAGAAAATGAGGAAAGTCTCTACCGATCACTACCTCATGGGCTAATCTAGGTACTACACCCACTCGGTACTTTAAATCCCCATACTGGCTTCCAATATTTACTTCCGCAGTGGGGTATTCCTTTTTATCACCATGAACACAGATAATGCCTATTTTCTGTACATGATCAGGTTTTACACAAGGTATTACAGACTCTGCTACCAACGTAACCATACTCCCCGAATCAAGTAATGCTTTAGACATTTTTCCATTCACAGTTACACAGCATTTATGAGTGTTATTATCATAGTCATTGTTAACAGTACCATAACAGTTGAGCAAAAATGAACGTGCTCCCTCATCTTTGCCCATATTGCATTCCATAGGTTCATCCTTCAATGGACAGTCTTTGGCCATATGACCATCCTCTTTGCACTTGAAACATTTGACAGTAAAATCTGACCACCAATTAGTTCCTTTCCCAGGCCTATTAGACCTGGTTTCCCCCCTGGTGTTTTGTGTATAGAGCCGCAGCTCTTCAGCTCCCCTTAAACCTTGAACAGTCTTACCAGGTCTTGCAGAATCTTGGGTCTTAGGATTGCGGGGGTTTTCCTGTGAAGTAGGACGTAGCAGTTCTCCTGCAGCCACATATCTTTCCACCAAGGCAATCAGTTGCTCAGCTGTGTGGGGGTCACTTTGGCTGACCCAGCGACGCAGGGCAGCTGGTAAACCACGCAAAAACCGGTCCATTACTAAGGTTTCCACAATGTGGCTAGCTGAATGGATTTCAGGTTGTAGCCATTTCCGTGCAAGGTGTATGAGGTCAAACATTTGGGAACGTGCAGCTTTGTCTGAAAAATATGACCATGAGTGGAACCTTTGGGCACGTACTGCAGAGGTTACACCCAGTCGTGCCAAGATTTCAGCTTTCAATTTGCTGTAGTTACTTGCATCAGCTGGTTCTAGGTCATAATATGCCTTCTGCGGCTCTCCACTTAGGAACGGTGCCAGTATGCTTGCCCACTCACCAGCTGGCCATCCCTCCCTCTCAGCAGTGCGCTCAAATGCCAGAAGGTACGCCTCAACATCATCTGATGCGGTCATTTTCTGAAGATAGTGGCTCGCCCGAATCACCTTTGGCCCCTGGTATCTTCCATCAGGGTCTCCATTCAGTTTTTCAGAGATAGCTTGGATTTCCTGTTGTAGTCCCTGGGTGACTTTTTGCTGCTCCTCACGGGCTACTTTAAACATCTCCACTTGTGTCACAACAAGCTGTTTCACCAAGGACTCAAGGACCATTTGTGTTTTGGCCAGGACTTTAGCACACTCTGCCTGGGCCAGCACCAGTTGCTGCAGGGCTGCACTGTTTTCTGCAGCTCTCCTGTTAGCCTCCTGTTGCACAGAGGTGGATTGGATCAGAGCCTTGAT